CAACTTTAATAACTGTTGTGAACTTTCATTCTAGTATTAAATTCACTGCTTATGTATATTGTTTCATTATTGTTTATATACTAATTTGTATCTGCTTCTCTTCCACCTTGTACCTTGGCGAAGTGTCGAGGGGGAAGGGGAGATGTAACATTCGTTGATGAGGCCTGTCAAAAGCACTATTGAGATTGATCTTAATTTCTGTAAGGCTGTTCTTAATTCCACCACTCCCTTTTTTTACGAGGTCTTCCCATCGCTCTAACCCCGTTGTAATGTTTCAGTGTGGCTCACTGTGGTAAATAGTAGTATGGCATTCTTGTTAGCTGTCCAAACCACTTCATTTGTTGTTCTTTGATGACCTGTAAAACTGGCTTTATTCATAGCATTCGTTAGATTTTGTATTCTGTCTTTTCTTGAAACTCCAGCAGCTTTTCTGAGACACTTCATCTCTATTGTAACAATTTTTTCGTTAATTATAGGATTTAAGTGCCCACGTTTTACACTGATAGCAGTTTTGTCCCCGCAAAAATAGTTCTGCTTGTGTGTCAACAGGGGAGATAGTTACCCCAGTACTTGATTAGCTTTGGTATATCTCGAGCAAATTTCTCTGTCCAGTTTTCCATCGGATGTGAAAATTGCTCACAAATACTTGAATTCCTGTTTGTATTAAGGAATTGTATTTTTAATTACGTTTCTAAATTGTCTTTCTGTCTTCTTATCACCATTATCTTTGTCTTCCTGGTGTATATCCTCACCTTTGTTATTAATTTAATTTAGGTGGTTCTGTAGGCATTTCGTACTTTCTGCTATGAGTACCTGGTAGTCGGAGAATTGTAGTAATTCTGTAATATCTTCTTTATGATTATAGTTTGTCTCCTTACGTATAGCATCCATGTATGCGATAAAATGAGGTGGGGATAGTACACAGCCCTGACGCATACCAGAATTCACTATAAAAGTTTTTGACAATCCTGCCTTCGATCTTGTGCAGATTAATTATGTGCGTATGGGCTTTAGCAAATATTAATGAGATGATTGCTGACTCCATTTTTCCCCCATAAATTCCGACAACATATTCCTGTGGCTTTTTCCTGGTCTAGCTGTGTATTACACTGATGTGTATTACTGTTTTTTATTATTTTTTCAGAGCTTACTGACCTCTTTTTAATATATCTGCAAGTATGTTAAAGCCTATATATGCAAAATCATCACCTGCAAGATGAAATGCCCGAGAAAAGCAGCCAACCTAACTATTCGAAATCAAGTAAATAACGACAATGTAAGACAAATTGTGGGAACGAAACCTTGTACTAGATTTATAGAGAAACAGCAGATCAAGTGCTTTGGCCATCTCGTTATAATGCAGCAAGATCAAATACCATCACAAGCACTACATCTCAGAAGATCAGATAAAAGAGCAAAAGGAAGACCGTGGGAAATATGGATCGACAACATTAAAGACACGCTACACCTTCACAGCATGACAATAGCCAGTGGCAGCCAGCGTGCACTGGATCGCAAATTTTTCCTCTCCACGCAGCTTAATGGCAGAAGTGGTTTATGATGATGATGATGCAAGTATATTTTGAATGTAATTAATAAATGTATAATTATAATATTATTGAGCTGTGTCCATGTGTGAATGGGATGGTGGAGGAGAGTCTTTAAGTCTTATAGCTAAGGAAAGGGGAGGGGCGAAGGCTGGAATTAGTTTGTGAGTGCATGCATTTCAGAGATCCCTGGAGGTTGCTACTGGAACTATAGAGTTCATGCTTCATGCAGTCACAAGGGAAACTAGCAATAGGAAAGACAACTGACAGAAAACTACTGATTATGACAGGTATATACCTCAGGAGTGGTTTCTTTTCACATTTGTATTTACTCTCTGCACAATCATATAACTAAACAAGTCACATGGTCATCGTGTGCTTTGCAGGATGGTTTTGGCATTCATCTCAAAAGATAAGATGCCTCCATGCTATAGTCTTAGACCAGCCAGCATCCTTTCTCATCTACAGTTGATCTTTCCAGTCATTCCATTTTTCATAAATAACTGTTCTCATCTCCTGCCTAAAGAACATGTGTTCTTTTAGCTGCATCATTGGTCAGTTTCCATGAGCTTTTTCAATGCATCAGTGTTACCATATTTACGCGTGTACAGGCCTCACTAAGCTTCTAAGATGATAATTTTAGGAAAAATAATTTTCTTACATTTTTTGTCGAGAGACAACACTGAAACAGTGGAAGCTGCAAGCAGTGAAAGATGGGCCTCATAGAAGTAAGTAGTGCCTGTGCAAGTGAATTTAAAGCAAGTTATGGCTGGGCAAGGCCCTTTGTGGCACTAAAATTATCTCGTGATTTGGCAACTGACAACAATGGAGCAGCAACTTCCCGACGCCTACCAAGAAAAAGTGAAGAACACAGCTACAGCATTGGAGCAATTGGAAATGCAGCTGAAACTCCCGTTTATGAATAAATTGTGTTCATGTGACATGCAGACTAATATCTTGAATATAAGCTGAACCCTATTTATTTTTCAACAATGATTTTCACTTCAATTTTGTGCGCCCTATACATAGATAAATTTGTATTTACTCCAACTGTCCTAGATATTTGCAACATTCATCTCAGAAACCACACCTCCTTTTTCCGAATCTGTTCATTCACATTCCAAGATTCACTGCCATAAATCAGAACAAGCTAAACATATCTGTGTACTCTCTTTTTCGATTGCCAGTAAAAGTGTATAATGAAGGTAAACAAGCTATACATTCATTTAGCTGTACCACATTTAATCCACTGCCTCACAGCTCTGATTAATGTGTTCAGATAAGAAACAATTTCATTAACAGACAATAATAACCAAACTAATCATGAATGCCATAATTTCACCATATTGTTCCCCCATGTGGTTCCTGTTACCCTATGGGGGGGGGGGGGGGGGCGAATAGACAGCTCCTTTAACAAGCATCTTGTAAAAGGCAACTGATTAGGGGTGTTTGCTTTAAAGTTAGACTGTACCTGTTTGATAGGCTAGGAAATAACAGTCTGCATACAAATAAGCCAGATTTGTTAAATGGATGTGTATGTAAAACTCAAGGTCTGGAACAAGACAAAGGTCCAAAAGTGGAGGAACACCCAGTATTTATAGCTGCTGAATGCTAAGAAGAAGAAGAAGACATAGTGCTGAAATCATGCATTCTTCAAGTAGAGAATTACTTTCTGTATCAATCTAATAGACAATGGTGTTTAACAATGCCATAACTAAAGTATTCAGATATCACTGCTTACTAATTTCCCTTTACAAGTATCTAAGCTGCTTAAAGGGCTGTTACTGTTCATCAGTTAGGTTTATTCAATGTTTAAATCTTGTTCGATATTTTTTTTTTTTTAATCTCATGGTATTTGAAGAATAGTTTGGGTACATTTAAATTCAAAAGCCTCCATTTTCTTCTTTAGTGACTGAGAAACAGTTCATGACTCACATTCATATAGGAAATATGTATTGGAAATCTAGCCTCTTGTTAAAATAACATAAATATTCACATATGCTTTTTGACTTTGTCACTCAATAGGTTTGTATTCAGTACATACATGTCAGGCTTTACAACGTACACCATGGTTCCAATCATTGTTTTTCCTAAGGTTATTCTATACTATCAAGTGAGATATTTATCTGTACATCAAAATAAACAGAACTTGATGTTCTTGCACACAGGCAGGGAACAGATAGGCGACGGATAGCTCGCGAGCTACAGGCAATTCTGGACAAAGTGACTGAATGGTGTGCAGAAATGGTGTCAACTCAGAAATGGCAGCTGTTTTGTGGTGCTCTCTAGGCAATGGAATTGTGAAGGCTAGCATTCCGGGCCTCACAGTTAGTGATAGTGACATCAGGGAAGAGGGCGAACTGAGGTGCCTGTCATTTTTGGTGAAGATATACTTGCACTGCCTGCTGTTGCAGATGGGCCTAAACTTCTGCAGGCAAAGTAATTTCTCAGAGTGGATGTGGACAGGGCGCACCTCCTGCATGGGGCCCTGGATGGAGCTGGTCAAAGACTAAAGGGAGGAGAGTCCTGGGTGGCACAAGCTGGGGATACAGTTGGACATGTGTGCACACTTGATGGATTTAGGTGAGAGGGTGGGTGGATCAGAGTGTCCGATCAGGTTTCAGACTTTGTGTGGGGTTCTGGTTTCTTTGGGACTTGGGTGTTGGGGCTGGCCACCTGATGCTGCAGAGTTGGAGGTCCAAAAATGATTCACGAAAATTCCAGCCAAGGTGATGTGATTGTATGTGCAGATGGCTCTGTGTTGGGAGGTGGACTGGGTGCATGGGAGTTCACAGCGAATGCGGATAGACATTGCTTGGTACTGCAAAGCCTGGCATTTGATATAACTAGACAACGTCTAGTTTGAGAATGGAGGTTACTGCTGCTTTCCGCTGGCTTAAGAGTCCACTGTGCACACATGCTGTCAATGTAAATGACTCACAGTGCATGCTGAGAAGGGTAGAGACAGGCAAGCTCCATGTGGAGTAGCGGGTGTCATTTCAAGGGTCCAGGGTGGTTGGTGTCCTTTGGATGTTTTCTCCAGGTTATGCCAGTGTGTTGGGAGGTGAGCGGGAGGATAGACTAGCTGGTTCTGCACCACTTGGTGATCAGCTGATGTATGAAGGGCTTGATGTTGTGAGAGAACAGTGCCGAGGAATAGATGGATCATTACGGTCTGAGGAGAATGGCACTGCAAAGAGTTACAGGGGGATCTGGCCAGCGCTCAGGGGATGGCCAAAACGGATATACAGTCATACATTTACTGGTACATACAGAATTTTAACTCTTTGCTTGCTGCTGACGATGGGGAGGGAGCCCTTATGGGAGTGACCCGAGTGCTGTGATGTCGATTCCTAATTCAACATTTAACAAACAGAACTCACAAACCACACAATACTTAACAACATAAAAAATTGTATTTATTAGTATCTGTTTATACTGGTAAACAAGGATTTAGCTGTCCCCAGAATCAATACATTCCTTAACAAGCTTCTGCAGATTGGGATTCTCCATAGCAGCTGATATTCTCTCCTTGTCATTGATCTGTTTGTTGACTAGCAAACATAAGACAAAGAAGCTCACATTACCACAATGTTAGGAGAATATCAAATGCATCTAAACTGATAATGCAACAGATCCTTTTCATGCCACAGGCACACTGGGCATACAGTGCCAGATCCACATGTTGACTGATGAATTGCATTCAAACCATGTGGTCAACATCAAATTGTCTGCATTTACTTCCCATGTTTGTGCTACACAATTTAGGCTGGGTCAAACTGGAAATGCATACAAATTGTAAAACTCTTGCCTCAATGCAGATCTGAAGCCAAGACCTTTGGGGTGAAAGGCAAGCATTTAGTCTTTGCACTTCTGCACTACCACAGCGGCTACATGAGAAGCACTGAAATGTCCAGCCTGCTGACAAATTATCCAGACAAAATGTGATACAATCAGCTCAACTTGAGCTAGTGTTGGCTGGCATGTGCCAACCTACAAGAGTTATCATTTACTTGAACTTACTATTTCCTTAAACTTGTAGTGCAGACAATGAACTGAGAAAGATGTCATTTCTTGAGATATTTAAGGGTAAGAAAGTTTTATATACAACATGTAAATTCATTACAACAATTGTGACAATCAGTAAAGCAGCTTTTTACTTGTGTGATGTTCAGGTGAGAAAGCTTTCACATCAGTTTTAGACATATGTGACAGTGAATTAAGAAAGACTCACTATCCCTAAGATATATGTGAAATTTTGTCATTTTTAACATACGTGATGTCTAAGATTCAGTTGCTTAGTTCTGTATATAAACACAATGGAGTTACATTTCTGATTAGCTTGTAGGATTCTGTTTTGACCTCACATTTTCCTTTCCATGTGAACATTACGGGACAGCATAAGCAAAATAGTAATGGACCCTTTTCGTGCAATAAACACATTGGGTATTTGGGTAACTCCGATTTTTACAGATAAATTGGCTCTGGGGGGTCATGCCGTCACCTCTATAGCGTAAGATATTAGCTCGTGACCAATCTCTATATCAGAGCTGGCACTTGCGGAGGACGTGGCTTTGATAGCTAAATCAGAGGCACATCTTCAATCCCGTTTACTTGTCGGAAGGAAAAGCTTAAAAGAGATCAGTATCTTCAGAACTAAAACCATGGTGACCTCAGGAGAGGAGAAAAAACACCACCTGATGATTGGACAATATGCACTGGAGCTGATCAATAGTTCAAATACCTTCGAGTTGTAATAGAAATAGAGGCATTAAGACAGAACTGGCTACTCGAAAAGCAACTGCTGGGAGACGTTTCCAGGCCAAAAACAGTGGGTTTCTTAGCAAAAGAGAAATTGGCAAGAGGATGAAAATGTCTGTTTACCACTCTACCTATGTGCCAGTATTGACCTACATGTGTGAGTCATGGGCAATGACAACAGCTCACAGAAGCCAGCTTCAGGCTTCAGAAATGAGAAATATGAGAAAGGTGGTCCAAGTGACAAGAAGGGACAAAGTTCACAATCAGACACATAAAGATCTTGAAACCCAGGCCTTACATACTCTAGTGGGTCAGTCACAATTACAATGTTCTGGACATGTATGCAGAATGGGAGAAAACTGGCCACCATGGCAGGTAAGGGATGCTACCAACCAGGGAACCAGACCTCCAGGGTGACCTAGGGTTCGATGGGAAGACAACATCCGAAGTCCCTGATTGATAGAGGACTGGAATGGAACAAAGCCAGGAAAAAAACTGCTGATAGAGAAGTCTGACGATCTCTCTGGTAAACCTCTGCACCCCAAGGTAGAAAAAAACGTAACTAAGTAAGTAAGTAGGTAATTAGAAATAATGGCAAAACAGGACAATGATGATTAAAAAGCAAAATTTTGTAAACATAAGAAGTAATGTTAACACAGTGGGGTATGCACAGACAGGCCACTACTACAGTCCAGGTTCTATCCTAGGTTCAGAGAGGACATCTTTCTGATCGAGTGTGGCCCTAAGTTCACCCTGGCCTGTAAATGAGCTGTTGGAAGCAGAATGTTGTTCCTGTCAATGCAGAGGTTCCCCATGGGGTTCCAGGGAACTGTTTTGGTGGGGGGAAAAAACGGACCTAATACCTCCCTAACAAGCAAGTCATGCAAGGCAACTAATAAGAGGTGTATCCTTATTGTCAGAGTGCATCTGCCTGAAAGGGGAGGAACCCATAGTCTGCATACAGATCTGTAAAAGGAGATGCACACCAAACTCAACATCTGGAACAAAACCAAAGTCCACAAACGGATGACAGCCAGTGAACGCTGAGAAAAGAAATGCAGAGGTCCACAAGTTAATAACAATTACTGAGATGAGGTAGAGAGCTGATCTACATACATGGTCCACTGTATGAGGATCCAATAGTACATGGGCATTCAAAGCTCGCTCTGCAGGCAGAACAGTCCAGAAAGCTAGAGGTACCTTCTCTATGACTACGATGACGATAGGGCGATGGTGGTGACACAAGCTTTAATGAGGTCAAAATCACAGGACTATTTCTTTGTCTATGTGTCTGCCTGCCTACATGCGTGTGTTTGTGTGTGTGTGCTGAGTGATAATATGAGCATGATCTGGTGGGCCAAAGCAGGCTCTGTATGCAGATTAAGTTATTGTGAAATTCCACTGTGTGGAATTCCCTTTAGCTTTGTCTCAGGGCATGCAGGTGCTGTAGACAATGAAAGAGCTATCAGACTAGCCACCTCTGCCTTTGCTGCAAAGGCTATGGATCATGTCAATACTTTTAATGCTTTTAGACAGACAGGATTTTGGAAAATTTTGGGAGCAGAGCATCCACATCACTTCTAAGAATGTGAGCACAGGGAGGAATCGGAGCACTTATGAATGTGTCTGAAGTGACGTGAAGACAACCCAACTCATAACTCACACAATATAATACACACAAGAGAGAACAGACTTACTCTCATCAGCTGTATCGTGTGTTCCTTTCTTTATATAAATGTCTACCTGCAAGATTAAACAGTATTTATGTTTCTCACTTCACCACTATAATCAAGACTTAATTCAGTCTAATATACAACAGGATTCTTCTGCTGAAAACATCATGGCATCTGTTGAGTGGTTTGATGTTGAAACATCACCATATCTGTGAACACTGTAGTAACATGGAGTATGCTTCTTCTTTGCAAACTTTCAAACATCAGTTTAAGGGTTGCTAACATTTCAAACAGTGTCAACAAGTATTTTCTCTGGTCAATGTATGTTGTATATGAACACTCTTGCAATAAGTGTTCAGCTATCACTGTATCAAGTTCACTTTAAAGTCCATCAGTACCTCCTATGTTTAGCTTATTGGTCAGACAGTTTGTTATGTCAGGTACAAAGCTTGAAGCATGCTACTTGTTCATTTCTATGCAGCTGAATATAATCACTATTTGCGTGGTCTGAAAGTTGTGCTTGTCGTCAGTTCTGTAGCTACTTTTCTTTTTAAAGCTCAGGTTATTAGTTATATGTGTGTTAGTGGATAAAATAGCCTAGATGCACAGCATCTATCTCTAACTTGCACAGACCTGGTTCAATTCATTACATGGACTGGACATACAACCCCCAGTGCCACCCCCTCCCAATCACACACACACACACATGCAAGCAAGCACACAAAGTGTGGTAAACTTCCCTCTAATCCTAGAATAGTGGATAGCACATTTGGTCTTATCATACAAAAGCAAAATGCTCATAAGGAATCATAGAATATTACTCATACTTCAATGGAAGAGGTCTGCTTCCTCGAGGCGGTACATTTGATTACCTATAAGATAATTAATGATCTTTGACTGAGTAAAATTCTATGCATTTCATATACAGGGCTGTAAACATGTTTTTGCTCAGATACTAATAAATGTATCTATAGGCTAACAAGAACTATTTTTGTAAGCAGTTCAATGTAAAAACGCAACTTCTTTAGCTACGTTACTTTGCTCAAGATTATTTCTTGAAAACATTCCCCCGGTTTTTCTTCATCTGCGATTAATATTCCCTTTAAGTTTATTCTAGCATAGTTAACAAAATGATCTGTGACCTTGACGCGTTTTCTACAGTGTGTTTTCTAGGGTCACTAGCCAGATTTCCTCTCTCTGACTGGCCAAGTCTGGATGGGTTTTTCAAGATGTGCTCTGGAGATTGCTTTGGTGCTCTATATTTGCAAATGGCAGAGAGACCCATTTAATGAAGGGGTGCTCTGGATTTACAATGTCCTGTCTAAGATAAACAATTCTTGTCTATGCATTTCTGAAAGAGCTTATTTATGCTTTCATGCTCCGATGTGCAGTTTCATTTTTCAACCTTTCATTTCATCTTCACCCAGCATATAGTTGCCAAGCAGTGATGCAGCAGACAAAGGAAATATTGGACTGTTTACCTGAATGACAGTGAAGCTCGTTTCATTTGTTCAAACTTTCACGTAATGCAGACAGTAGAGAAGAGCGGAAGTTTTAAGTACAATTGCATTATTTATGATGTCTCAACGACCTACACATGGGGTTCTGCAAGACAGAAATGAGTTTAATACAACAGCAGTCTCACTCTGTATTCTCAATCTCCCTGTATGTGTGTGTATGTGTGCGAAAGTGAGCAGCTATTAATTGACACCAGTGGTAGTTTTAAACTTCTAAAGGGCTGATACGTGGACTGACAAATACTAAATAATCGTACCTTGAGCTTTTCAGGTAAGCATTGTTCTAGTTTTGATCGCATCGTTAGGCCTGTAACAAACATCAAGTAAGTCCATAAAAACATCATTCTATTCAGTACATGTGAGAAAATACAATTCAGAAGAACAAAATACAAATAAAAGCAATGCTATAATTTTAAAATTTCTTCTGCACTTGCCCTTAAAAAAAGGCAGATGTGTTATGATTTACAGCCAGGCTGCAATATGTGTGCCTTTCAGCTCAATACATTCTATTTCAGCAAACACATTATTAGTCGTCTCTTATCTTCTTCTTCTTCGCGTTCACTGGCTGTAAGCTCCAGCGAAAAGTTCTGGTTGTTCGTCCACTTCTGGACTCTAGTCCTGTTCCAGAACCTTAGTTTTGCATGTACATCTGTTTCACAGGTATGACTAATTTGCAAGCAGACTGCTGGTTTCTTGCCTCTCAGGCAGACATACTCCAACTTTGAAGGAAGCTTGCAATAAGTCGACTTTTACGACATGCTTTTGGGCAAGCAGTAATTCTATTCTTGTTTTCCCCACAATTTGGCCTCAGAACCAACACGGGGATAAGTCATCTCTTATGATATGCTTGTCAATGTCTAAACCATACTTTGCACTTTGCTTGTTTACCTGGTCAACCAGGTCCTGTAACTCCTGCTCACTTTTTGCTAGTAATGCAGTGACATCCGATTATGTCTCAAATTTTATATTATTGTTCTGTTGAAATTCTGTTCAGACAATTCTCTAACTTGTTTTAAAATCTGTTATGTACATATCCTGGGGTAGGAGCCTGTCCTACTACTAGGCGCGTCCACCAGGTGGCGGATGGTGGAAAGGCCTCTAGATATAGAGGTTAGCCACGAATATATTGAATAAGTGGCCGTGGACCAAAACAGGTGATGGTCATTGAGAGGAGGCGAGTTAGTTGGTGGGACAGCTAACTCTATAAAATACCTCAAAACTCTACGACATGGCCATCGGCGGGTAAGAGGCGCCATAACCTCTCCCCCCTGCTGCCTTGCAGGGTAAGTCTTTTTAGACAAAGGCTATTGGAGTCAAACCATATACAAACCGGCGGAAGGCAAGGGGAAACCACCGCTGTACTATCCCAAGAAAATCATGCCTCAAAATAATACGTATTCAGATAACGACGTGAATGGGGATTCTGGTGGAATCACCTCGTCCGGTAGGGAGCATCATGTTCTACGGGTGATACCCGACCGTCATCCAGCTACTGTAGAAAAAGTAAATGGTAGAAACATCATGAACATTGGTACATGGAATGTCAGAACACTCGTACAAAATGGAAAACTGGATAACATCAAGATGGAAATGAAGAGAATGAACATCAACATACTAGGAATTAGTGAAATGAGATGGCCAGGAGCAGGGGAAAAGTATTCAGATCAGCACAGAATTATCTACTCGGTGGGAAGGAATATAGTAAGGGAGTTGGTATTATTTTGGATCCAAAGAACTCAAAAACTGTTAAAGGATTTTAGACAATATCAGATAGAGTACTATTAGTAAAACTTCACGGTAGACCGTTTGACATCAACTTAGTACAGATTTATGCCCCAACAGCAGATAGTTCAGAGGAAGACATTGACGCATTTTATGATGAGTTAGACATGGCTGTTGATCAATGCAAAAATTGTGAAGTAACAATGGTACTTGGAGATTTCAACGCAAAAGTAGGAAGTGAAAAAGTGTACGGAATAACGGGTGGCTATGGACTAGGAGAAAAGAATGTGAGAGGTGACAGATTAATAGCATGGGCTGAGTCGCGCAGCATGATAATAGGTAACACCTGGTTTAAACACCATCCTCGAAGATTGTGGACTTGGAAAAGTCCTGGTGATAATGTCTGCAATCAGATTGATTATATTTTGATTTCAAGAAGATTCCAGAGCAGCTTAGTTGGAGCAAAAACTAGACCAGGGACAGACTGCTTTAGTGACCATGTTCCAGTTGTAGGAAAAATTAGAATAAAACTAAAGAACATTAGAAAAACACCACAGAACATCAAGCTAAATTTAGGAATTCTTAGAACGGATAAAGAAATTAGGGAACAGTACAACGTCACTGTACAAAACCGGTATAATGCAATGGAAATTATACAGACTATTGATGAACAGTGGGATATGTTGCGTGAGTCAATTCAGCAGACATCAAAAGAGACAATCCAACCAACCCATACAGTTGCAAAAAAGAAATGGATGTCAACCGAAATTCTGCAGTTGATGGATGAAAGAAGGAAGAAAAAGAATGATAAAGAAGAATACTCTAGAATACAAAAAGAAATAGTGAACAAATGCAAAGTGGCTAAAGAAGCCTGGCTGAATCAAATGTGTACAGAGATTGGGGAAAATCACGGGAAAGACTCACATTCCATGTACCAACAGATAAATATGTTAACAGGAAGGTTGACACGTAACAGCACTGGATGTTTGAAATCAAAGGATAGTGACTTATTAATGGGACATAGTAATATAATTAACAGATGGACAGAGTATATAGGGGAATTGTATGATGATAATAGACCAGACGTAGAACTGCAGACCAACAATGATGGTCCACCAATAATGACTGCAGAAGTTGAGGATGCAATACATCATATAAAGAAAGGAAAAGCACCCGGGCCAGACAACATCTCACTGGAAGAAATCGAAGCACTGGGAAATTTTGGAATTGAAATAATAACTAAACTTTTAAACGATTTTTATAACAGTGGGTATATTCCAAATGACCTTTTAAAATCCATATTTATAGCTCTGCCGAAGAAACCAGGTACTTTAAAATGTGAAGACCATCGCACAATAAGTCTTATGAGTCACATGACTAAGATTTTACTGAGAATAATTATGAGAAGAATAAGAAACAAAATTAAACCAGAAATCATCGATGAACAATGTGGATTTGTAGAAGGAAAAGATACAAACAATGCCATATACATCCTAAGGACATTGTCAGAAAGCGCTATAGAAGTAAAGACTGATTTGTACTTATGCTTCATAGACTATACAAAAGCATTTGACTGTGTGAAGCATGAAGAAGTAATCAAACTGTTAGAAAAATTAAACATTGATGGGAAAGATCTAAGAATAATAAAGAATATGTATTGGCAGCAAACAGCAGCTATAAGAATTAACAACTGTTTAGGTACATTTCAAAGCATAAAGAGGGGCGTACGACAAGGATGTGTACTTTCACCTGATTTGTTTTCTATATACAGTGAATATATTATGAGATCTTTAATTGATATGCCCAGAATCGTGGTTGATGGGCACAATATAAACAATTTACGTTATGCTGATGACACAGTCTTGATAGCAACAAGTCAGAAAGAATTACAGGAAATGATAGACATTGTGGTGTTAGAAAGTGGAAGAATGGGCCTCAGTTTGAATAATGGGAAGACAGAAATAATGGTGGTATCAAAGAAACAAATTATTCCTAAATGTGTAATAAAAGTCAATGGTGTTATTTTAAGACAAGTACAGAAATTTAAGTATCTGGGCACATGGATAACATCAGATGGAAGATGCATAACTGAAATAAGAAACAGAATTGGACAGGCAAAAACTGCATTTTATAAAATGAAAAACATCTTGTGCAATATATCCTTGTCATTGAGAGTTAGAAAAAGAATTCTTGCTTGCTACATACATCCAGTTTTAACATATGGATGTGAATCCTGGACAATCGATAGGTAGGCCAAACAATTTTTGGAGGCCTCAGAGATGTGGTTTTACAGAAGAATGCTTAGAATACCTTGGACAGCCAAAAAGAGCAACCAAGAGGTTTTAAAAGAGGCGGGAGTCCGAAGACAACTTATCACTGACATCAGAAGGAGACAGTCATCATTTTTCGGCCATGTTATGAGAAGAGGGAAAATAAAACATGTTGTGACCACTGGAAAGATCTGTGGAGGGAGGGATAGAGGAAGACAACGAGAGAAGATGCTTGACAGTCTTGTTGCATGGTATGGAGGTGTGTCTGCACACGAACTGATACATGCTGCAGGAGATCGCGGATTATGGAGAGGCATGATCGCCCACGGCAGTCGGCAAGGCACCTAATGATGATGATGATGATGATATGTACATATATTGAAAAGGCTTAGGGATAACCCACATCTTTGACATACTCTTATTTTTAACTCTGTTATTAGAAGATGTACAATATTTTCATTACTGTACATGCTTTTTATTTGAAAATGATTAAATTCCATTTACACATGAAATTACGTCCCTTAATGAAATTATTTTAAAGAAGCTTCAAATATATTAGATTTTTTCTATTTTTTCACAGCGCTATGTGAAGTTTCTTAACCTTTCAGTAGACAAGCATGTTTGTTAGTAGTTTATTATAATGAGTGCTAATTATGTCACTCATGTTGAATCAACTGTGTGCATTAAGATTTCACTTTCCTGTAAAATTATTCTGGGGATACCTAGTCATCTCCTTGTGGGATGCAATTCTTCGTTATTTTGAAGCCCTACCCTGGCTCTTGCCAGGGGCTGCAATATAGCCTGGCCATAAATATGGTCTAATGGCTGAATGCGGTTTCCGGGACCTCTCCACGGGTGATCCTTACCCACATGGTGGCACTTTGTGTCATCGGGTGTTTATCGCTTGTGTGATGTCCTGGTGGGGTGAAAGTTACTTACTTACTAATTATTCTGAAGTGTTGATTTTAAACAGCCGAAAATTACCTGTAAAAGAATTGATAACTAAAAAAATGTACTTCTTAACATAACCAAGATGGTGGAGAAGGTAGTGCACTAACTTACTAGCATAGCAATGTCAGTTCAATTTTGTGGGGAAATTTTGCTTTCTGAACAAACACAAATATGGAGTTGTTACCATGCTGTAACATGGCTATCTCAGGATGAAGAGGTGTACAGGAAGGTATTTAGTCCATTAATCTTGACATTAACATTGTACGGGAAGGTATTTAGTCCATTAATCTTGACATTAACATATTTCAGCAGAAAATAAAAACATTATGTTATCAACATTTTATGAACATACCAATAATGGAAGCTAAGCTGCAGTGGGGCACAGTGGGCACAAATTCAATGTGAGCCAGCAGCTGGCCATCTCTCAAGCGACAAACTTTCACTCCCGATTCAGATATCACATTCAAGTCTTCCAAGGACTCTGGTTTCTCAGGATCCCTGATTCTGCTGATGAGATCTGAAATTATGAATATCACATTTTTGTATCTGTAGTGTCATGAAAAAAAGAGTTATTTTAGATCTTAATAGATTTTCTGCTATAAGCCAGACACTGTGTCTATAACCGATTTTTTTGGGTCTTAGTTTCTCTGTTTGACCCTCACTGTAGGGTTATAACAAATAAATAGCCCATACAACTCATGCTGCTACATTGCTACCCGCTACAGCCAAGCTTTTTTTTCCTCCAAGAATAACCTGCAATTCTAAAAGCCACTTTTTTTAAAATTACAATCTCTGCAGCCAATAAATGACAACTCATTAAGCTGGCATTCTATTTCTAACTTCTAACTAATACAAGATCTTCAACATAGACTGGGTGTATACATGATCTTCTTTGTTTTTTATATACCTGGCAAGGTTAGGTCATCTGTTCAACTATCCATAAGATCAAGTTGGAAGTATACTTTTCTTAAAGTATCCACTATTCCCTCAGACCCAAGACTGTTTTACAGGAAAATGATGTACAACAAACAACTCTAACCCTATTAGTGCTAAGACTTAAATTACTAAATTACTTTGGGGACCTTCATAGATACTCTCAATGGGAACAAATAGCAACAGTTATTATCTCACCAAAGACAAGAGATGAAAAAAGGAGTATTGTCGCGTGCGGATATGCACTAGAACGCACCAGTACTGAGCGAGCAAATAGGACGTCAAAACAATACATAATGTTGTTAAGGGATTGTATTCTAGGAGATGAAAGTCGAAGTTTGACCAAGGCGGACGTATGGTCCGGCCTTGGTGTGGATCCTTGAGGATGCTTTACCCCAGGATTCCACGGAAGGAATGGTATCAAAGTTGGATCCTTGAGGACGTTTTACCCCGGGATGCCATGGAAAGCATTCGATGTTTACAGTCTGAAGGAGACAGACGTGTGGATCCTTGAGGACATTCTACCCCGGGATGCCACTGAAGGCAGTCGTTGTATAAAGTTGGATCCTTGAGGACGCTCTACCCTGGGACTCCACTAGAAACCTCAGTGGAAAGCTGGTATATTGTCTATTGCGCTTGGCAGGAAGGCTATGTTATACTGCATTGTTCAGACTGCAGAAGAGAAGATCGAGATGACCGTCCGGATTTCCAAGGTCGGACTGAGATCGATGTGACGGTCCGGATTTCCAAGGTCGGACTGAGATCGATGTGACTGTCTGGATTTCCAAGGTCGGACTGAGATCGATGTGACTGTCCAGATTTCCAAGGTCGGATTGCGACCCGTCATTTGTAATGAAGTCAGTTGATGTACGAGCGGTTGCTTGTATTTGGACGAGTCTGGAGTTTTATTAATTGCACATTTTCTCCTTCTGTTGATCATTGTGTATGTGAATACACCAATGTAATCTTTACAAGAGCGTTCATTAGTCAACTGCGTTTGGAAGCCTTTAACATTCATTATGTTCTGTCACACTTGGCTGTCGGCACTGTAATTTGTTGGAGACTATATTTGTTACGTTAATGATGCCCTATTTCATCATTGGTACCCCAAACATCATCATGAAGTCGCCCCTCGTCACAAGTATATCCCAAAGACTTTTCAACTTATATACAGAAAACATTGTTTTTAAGTTGAAGAATTGTCTGGATTGAATATTACTGAAAAAATAATTAACAGTTGGAGAAATGCTAATGACACAGTGTTACTAACAGAAGGTGAGCAGGAGTTACAGGACCTATTGAGTCAAGTTAACAGGCAAAGAGCAGAATATGGATTAGACTTTAAAATTTGAAAACACGTCTATGGTAATTACAATGGAAAATAATGACTAAACATGAACACCACAGCAAACATAGAAGCATTAAAACAGGTAACAAGTCTCTCCTATCTTGGATACATAATAACAGATGATGGCAAAAGTAATACAGGAATCAAAAAGAGAATAGGATTGGCTAAAACCATCTTCAATAAGATGCCAAAATTACTGACATCTAGAGAGATAAATACCAAAATAAAAATGATAATTGTCAAACGCTACATAAACTCAACCCTGCTGTACGGTGCCGTAACTTGCATAATGAATAGGCAACTAGAAAATCGAACTGAGTATCTGAAAATGAATACAAAATGACGAATCCCAGCCTTTATAGGCTTTTGTGGATTTTTTCTAGCCAAATTTACATTCAGTAGTTTGTCATTGTTGTCCCAGCATTTAGCTCTTGACACCACTATCAAAACCAATGTAAGGCAGTCTGCAGCCAAATCGCCTGCAGCTGGAATCGAACACAGATTTTGCATAGAATGTTTGCAATGCCTAAGCCACAGACAAGCAAACAACTGCCAACAGCAGGTGACTTTAAAATAAAGAAGACAGCCTATTTTACCTTACCATAAATTGTTTCTTGTAGAGTTATTAGCTCAGGGTCGTCGTCTGTCTGTTGCTTATCACCCATACGATGCAAATCAAAGCCGTCTACGCTGGAGCCATCCTTGTTGTGGTTGTACTGACCAACTCCTGATCTCCCTATGATGGTCAGCCCGTTGTGGACATGACTTGCTGAGGACTTTACAGACATTACAGTTTGAGATATAAAAATAGGATATCCTTCAGGACGTCTTTCAATAATCTATCGTTGGACCAAATTTATTTAAATTCCAAATGTGTTAGTGTGTGAATTAATTAAATTCAAAATAAAGAAAGACTATGGGCTCTATTAACTATTACTATATTTTAGCATTATTCTGTTGAATGCGCGAATAATTGTATCATTTTAATTTTGTTCGGTTAGCTTTACTTAGCAAATTCACATACATCGACTATCTAGAATATCTAGGCGGTGGTAAAATTTTTCATTGTCTAATGACAGGGAGGGGGGGGGGGGGGGGGAGGCATATACACTAACAAAACGATCACAATACAATTGATTTATTATAAATAACACATCAACTACCATAGCTTTCTCATTAGAGGGGTTTACAAATTAGTGAGTGGTTTCCCTTTCATCATCATCATCATCATCACTCTGTTGTACTGTAATACGTCACATAGTGCTTGTTGTCATTGGATTTGGAGCCGCAATCTAGATGGCTCAAGTCCGTTGAGGACACCCCCACCTCCAACAATTCTTCTTCTTCCATTTATCTCAAACGAAGAAGGCAACGTTGACCAATTCGCACCAGATCGTTTAATATCTTACATAAGCCTGCTACCCTCCATGTCGTTCCTATCTATGTCGTCCACGCCCGTCTTTAATTCTCATTCTCATCTACGTATTTTTTTTAAACGAAACTAGAAGCTTAAAACATACCCCGCCCCTTTCAATCCACGGAGTTTCCTAGTGTTATCTTTGTGTTATATTGTTATCTCACTGTGTTAGCATCTTTTTCTCATCCCACACAACTCTGCTTTTGAAAATTAGGATTTTTTGGGGGGGGAGGGGGGGGGGTATACTACATTGAACTAAAGGCTAATATGATGAAACATAACGTATCCATCTTGTTTGAAAATGGATAAGGAGGCGGTAACTACCATGAAAACCAGTTTAACACATGTCATAACTGTAACTGACTAACAAGGCATGCGGAGAAAGATGGGGACAGATTTGCTTCGTACAGAATGGTAAGCATCGCTTATAGGTCTTAGGCTGAGCCGCTTAACATACGGGCCCGCTGGCACTTACCCGGGAGCTCCACAGACATAGGAGCTCCATACGGATCTGTGTGTGTCAAGTGATGTGCCATAGATAATAAAATATTTGACGTTTGAATTAATTCTGTGTGGTATAAAACAAAAAACTATTTTTCTTATTTTTTTTTCGCTATCGTTCTCTCTCTTCCCTCCCCCCCCCCCCCTCTCTCTCTCTCTCTCTCTCTCTCTCTCTCTCTCTCTCTCTCTCTCTCTCTCTCTCTCTTCCCACACGATACACACACGCAAACACTTTTGGTTCACACTCATCGCGGGGATTCCGAGGTTTCGTTTGTAGTTTCAGGTAAGGTACAATGATATGGTTGTGTTGATATATATATATATATTCCCTGTTGTGAATTTGAACAAAGAAGACACAAACAACCGAGTGCAAAATTTATTGCCTGGCATATTTCGCTGTATCTCGTCAGGTGCATACTACAGAAACAATTGATTAAATGAAGCAAATAACTGAATCCTAGAAACTGAAACACAAATTCGACTACATTCATGAACTGTCCGTTTCACCAAGGTAACAGTAAGGTAACGACCATTTCTTTCTGCCTGCAAAGTTCTCCGCATATCGGAGTAATCTACGGTTGGCCGATTTGTAAATAATTCGAAATGCATCATCCTTGTTATATATCGTCAGGTCATATATACACCCAAGGTATTTTTTTGTCTAACCAGTAAGTTGTCTGCTGTTTAACAGATCCTAATGCAAGACTCCTGGTAAAAGCTCCGTAGTGTGCGCTTGTGGTTATGACCTATATCAGCCTAAACCGAGCTGCCGGGGAAACACCAGAGATTCGGTTTCCATAAATCCCCTGCCACTCCTCAGCCCACTCTCTGTGCATGGGTGATAAATTACGTTAAAAGCTCATTTTGAACATGAGTAAGTCGTCTGGCCGAGTACCCTACAGAGTAACACACTAGGATTCAAATGTCTGTTGTCCAAAAGTCCTTCTATATTACAAACCTTGGTTGAAACGTCCATCGACCGAGAACCTACTGTATTGTCGCTTAGATTAAATACCCCTCCTACCTTATGACAGCAACAGTTCAGGTGTTCTTTGCGCAAAGATCCTACTTTATGACACAAAAGGTTCAAACGTCCGCTATCAACGGCCATACTCGAAAATACTTTCGAGGCATCATGCCTAATGCATGCTTTCCATAAATGACTCCTAAAAAGTGCACTAGTACATCCACGTGAAAGTTGTAACTGCCAAGGAAAGAAGTATATTATGTTTAGGAAGTGAGATATCCATTTGTGTATGGATCGGATCAGAGTCTGCAGACTGCTTCATTTGGATCCTTAAAGGGCGCAGCCCAAAATGAGGTGAAGGCTCAGTTTACAAAACTGAGATTAAGCAATAGGTGACAATTCCAGTACCTGAGTGCTGTGTATCGGCTCTACATTTATGGAAGCCTTCTAGGATCGCGAGAAATGTCCAAGCTCTCTGCAGATAAGAGTATCGACTAATCTGCATATGGATCCCCCTGGACCAGCCTGTCAAAATTACCTAGAGGACCAGCATGTCAAAATTACCTAGAGGACCAGCATGTCAACATTACCTAGAGGACCAGCCTGTCAACATTATCTAGAGGACCAGCCTGTCAACATTATCTAGAGGACCACCAGCATGTCAACATTACATGGAGGACTAGCATGTCAAAATTATCTAGAGGACCAGCCTGTCAACATTACATGGAGGACTAGCATGTCAACATTATCTAGAGGACCAGCCTGTCAACATTACATGGAGGACTAGCATGTCAAAATTATCTAGAGGACCAGCCTGTCAACATTATCTAGAGGACCAGCCTGTTCACATTATCTAGAGGACCAGCATGTCAACATTATCTAGAGGACCAGCCTGTCAACATTATCTAGAGGACCAGCCTGTCAACATTATCTAGAGGACCAGCCTGTCAACATTACATGGAGGACTAGCATGTCAAAATTACCTAGAGGACCAGCCTGTCAACTTTACATGGAGGACTAGCATGTCAACATTATCTAGAGGACCAGCCTGTCAACATTACACGGAGGACTAGCATGTCAACACTATCTAGAGGACCAGCCTGTCAACATTACCTAGAGGACCAGCCTGTCAACATTACATGGAGGACTAGCATGTCAACACTATCTAGAGGACCAGCCTGTCAACATTACATGGAGGACTAGCATGTCAACATTATCTAGAGGACCAGCATGTCAACACTATCTAGAGGACCAGCATGTCAACATTACCTAGAGGACCAGCATGTCAACACTATCTAGAGGACCAGCATGTCAACATTACCTAGAGGACCAGCATGTCAACACTATCTAGAGGACCAGCATGTCAACACTATCTAGAGGACTAGCCTGTCAACATCATCTAGAGGACCAGCCTGTCAACATTATCTAGAGGACCAGCCTGTCAACATTATCTAGAGGACCAGCCTGTCAACATTATCTAGAGGACCAGCCTGTCAACATTATCTAGAGGACCAGCCTGTCAGCATTATCTAGAGGACCAGCCTGTCAACATTATCTAGAGGACCAGCCTGTCAACATTATCTAGAGGACCAGCCTGTCAACATTACCCAGAGGACCAGCATGTCAAAATTACCTAGAGGACCAGCCTGTCAACACTACGCAGAGGACTATCTTGTTAAAATCACCCACAGGATAAGCCTGTCAACATCACCCATAGGACTAGCTTGCCACCATCACCCACAGTACAAGAATGTCAACACTGCGCAGAGGACTATCTTGTTAAAATCACCCACAGGATAAGCCTGTCAACATCACCCATAGGACTAGCTTGCCACCATCACCCACAGTACAAGAAAGTCAACACTACGCAGAGGACTATCTTGTTAAAATCACCCACAGGATAAGCCTGTCAACATCACCCATAGGACTAGCTTGCCACTATCACCGACAGGACAAGAATGTCAACATCAACCAGAGGACTATCTTGTTAACATCATCCATAGGAAAAGCCTGTTAACATCACCACTAAGACAAGCCTGTAAACATTACTAACATCACCCACAAGACTAGCCTGTCACCATCACCCACATGACTAGCCTGTTACCATCACCCACATGACTAGCCTGTCACCATCACCCACATGACTAGCCTGTCACCATCACCCACAGAACTAGCCTGTCACCATCACCCACATGACTAGCCTGTCACCATCACCCACAGAACTAGCCTGTCACCATCACCCACATGACTAGCCTGTCACCATCACCCACAGAACTAGCCTGTCACCATCACCCACATGACTAGCCTGTCACCATCACCCACATGACTAGCCTGTCACCATCACCCACATGACTAGCCTGTCACCATCACCCACAGAACTAGCCTGTCACCATCACCCACATGACTAGCCTGTCACCATCACCCACATGACTAGCCTGTCACCATCACCCACATGACTAGCCTGTCACCATCACCCACAGGAGTAGCCTGTCACCATCACCCACATGACTAGCCTGTCACCATCACCCACAGAACTAGCCTGTCACCATCACCCACATGACTAGCCTGTCACCATCACCCACATGACTAGCCTGTCACCATCACCCACAGAACTAGCCTGTCACCATCACCCACAGAACTAGTCTGTCACCATCACCCACAGAACTAGCCTGTCACCATCACCCACAGAACTAGCCTGTCACCATCACCCACATGAGTAGCCTGTCACCATCACCCACAGAACTAGCCTGTCACCATCACCCACATGACTAGCCTGTCAC